TCAAAAACATACTTGGAGTTGTGTTCTGTTTCATTCACACATGTTTAATGCACAAACCTGCATATTTAGGCTGAGATCTTCTCTCTTGTGTTGTCATGTAGTAATACAATAAGTGTTCCACTGTGTTTTTTAAACTCCATATACCTTCTGTGAGTTATTTTACTACGGTTAAACACACAAGGCCTGTACCATATTCAAACACTGTAGCTGCATTTATATTTAGACAGTCACAAAATGCTTTAAAGCGCCAATATTATGCTATTTTCTTTCTTTCTCTGTTATAGTGTTGTTTACTCATAAAAAACATACCTGGAGTTGTGTTTTGTTTCATTCACACATGTTTAACACACAAACCTACATATTTAGGCAGAGTTCTTCTCTCTTATGTTGTCATGTAGTAAAGCAAAAAAGTGTTCCACTGTGTTTTTAAACTCCAAACACTTTCATTAAAATGATTTGGAGAGTTTCAGCCCTGGAATTGCCCATCTCTATTGAGCAAAAGGTCTAGCCAGGCTGGCGCAACCTAGTGCCTCCGCTCAATTTCATTTCTCTCCAGTGACTAGGTGAGGAATCGGAATGCACTAGACAGTTCAGAAAACCCCCGGAAGTTGTAGACCGTGCACCGGCCAATCGGCGAAGAGCTGTGAAGCCATGACGTCAAACTCAAGCGCCTGTCTGAGTCCCTTTTGTGGTACATCACAACAGTAAATAAAGCGGTCGAGATGGATGTAGAAGAAGACATACATTCTGTGTTGGCAACATTTCCCGAGATCGAGGATTTAAAGCCGGAACAAAGAGAATGTTTGGTGAATTTTATCAAGGGGAAAAACGTTATTGCCCTTCTTCCTACGGGATTTGCCGCATTACATTCATCATGACCAAATAGCAGTGATTGATTAAATAAAAAAAGTAACCACCTACCTCGAATGAACGAAACTGCCTTGAGCGAACTAATCCTAATGCTGCGAGATCAGATGGTTTCCACGAAGTGAAACTGGCTGATGAATCAGGCTAGCAAAAGGTAGCTATTAACTGAAATTACCACAACATGACATTACAAGTGAAACAGAGAATTTCGATCTTTGGAGATGAAGACTAATAATAAAGTGATTACTCAAGCATGTGTGAATGAAACTAAACACAACTCCAGGTCTGTTTTTGAGGAGGTAACGACATTATAACATGGCTTAAAGCTCACAAGAGTCACATTTATGGAATATAGGACCTTTAATACGATAACTTTATTGTATTAAAATCTTGGTTTGGCGTGGTTCAGTTAGTGTTTTTATTTGTATTTATGTTTATCTTCAATAAAATTATGAGTAGATCTACATGAGATGATTATCAAAGGTTTGGCTGCACTTCATTCATCATGTTGGCCTAATAGATAGCTTAGGTTGACAGGTAAAACACTGACAAAACGGTTATAGGCCTTAAATAGTCTATTGTGTGTATTGCTTACATTTTAATGCCTGCTGTTTTTGGTTTTTTTATATGTGGACTAGGGCAGATTGCAGATTTTAGAGGAAGAAATGGGGTAAATGGCATCAGTAAAAATGTATATTAAAGCCTTTGCTATTTCGATTTGTTTTTGAAAAGTAAAAATAAAACCGAAACACAAATTTTGATTGACCAGTATTGAGATTTTCTCTGTCATATCGCTCATATCATTTTAATTTATAGCCTAGTAAACGCTAATACAATACATATTATGAAGTTTTGTCAAAGACACAATTTGGAAGATTTTGAAAAGGACTTATAGCTTCTTTTTGACAATTGGCTGATGTTATGTAGCCTGTAAATTTTGGACTTTTCCCATGTAGGTCTAGTTTATGCGTTATGCCACCCTTTTCTTTCATTTTTTTTGTACTTGTCTGTTTATGTGGACCCCAGGAGGAATATTATAGCTGTGGTAATAAGTAATAGGCATCCAAAATAAAGAATAAAGCATCTTCAGTTAGTCGTAGGGATGTAACAATAACAGAAATATTGTGATATTATTCGTCAAAAGTCTCACAATAATATCCTGGGCCATCGCAATGTATCGAATTGTAAACTTCTTTGAGTAATTCATTATTTTGTTGTAGCTGCAGCTAAAAAAAAAACCAAAACTGAGTGAACTACATAGACCATGATCCTTTGCTCCATTTCAGTGCAGACAGTATAAAGAAATAATTGAACTTTTCTACTTTAATTCTTCAGACTAAGACAGTAATATAGCACAAAAGGTACCGTTTTCTCAATTTTTGTATCATTTCCAAAATAAGTATTGTACTGTGAAATGCATATTGTGACAGTATCATACAACTTAAAATAAAGGAAAAACACAACTTAAAATAAAGGAAAAACATCAGAATTACTAGGTTATATGTTATTTATTGCTTAAAGATCCTGTATTACACAAAATTGACATCTGTGAGCTTTAAATCATGTTATAATGTTGTTACCTCCTCAAAAACAGACCTGGACTTGTGTTTTCAAGTTAACTACTTTTTAACTTTTGTTCAGAAGAGATCAAGAGTAGAGACAATCCCAGGGCTGAAACGATCCAAATGATTCTAGTGAAGGTGTATGGAGTTTAAAAACACAGTGGAGCATTTCCTGTATTGCCACGTGACATCACAAGGTGGAACGGAGTGTTTGAGTGAAGAACAAAGAGACTATGCAGCATCCTCTTCTCTTACACGAAATGGATAGACTAGCCCTTTGTTTCCCAAAGACTGGGTCGCGAGCCTCAGACGGGTCGCAAAAGATGTTTTTTGGGTCGCCTTGTCACGATCTACATGTAGGTCTGAAATATACAGTTCTGACACTGATCTGCTGTTGTGTTCTCCTCCTGCACCCTGGATTGGAATGTGCTACAAAAACGCAGACAGGCCCACCTATCTCATTAGAAATGTTGGAACGTTAAGACATGTTTTGTATAATTTCTAATCTTTTTGTAATTTTTTATTGACTATTTTGTTCCATTGTTGCTGGTTCAATTGAATGTTGAAAAGAAAAGAAAAAAAAAAGGGCTACATTTAATGTCCAGATAGGCGATTTATGGATCCTTTTATTGCTGATTCAATGATTGTTTTTCATTGTTTAAAACTTGAGTAATACTAATTGTTCAGAAAGACACAATCACTCAGTCAACAATAAAATATCCTCATTAATGTTCATTTATGGTCAAATCCACCTTTATTTTGTGATTTACGAATAATGTTTATTGACTTTATCGCAAAGGTTTGTGACTTTTAGAATATAGATTCCCAGAAAAAAAATTTGGGAAACACTGGACTAGCCTGTCTTTTTTAGTAGACTATGCATACACGCTTTTAAAGGGGTTCTTAATGCTCTGTGTCTAAAGATTGTAGACCTAATGATAACTTAACGGAACGCTGTAGTTGTGTGAAAGAGATACTAAAATTCCACGACTTTTCCAGGATTTCCATGACCGTAGGAACAGTTTTAAGCTCCACACACCTTCACCAGAATCCTTTGGGATGATTTCAGCCCTGGAATTGCCAATCTCTGCTGTACAAAAGAGAAAAACGTTGTTGTGAACTTGAAAACTACAGCTTTATGACATCACAAGGTGGAACAGAGCATGTTGAGATAATAATCCAGACTTACTCAAACATGTGTGAATGACACAAAAACGCAACTTCAGGTTTGGTTTTTGAGGAGGTAACACCATTCTAACATGACTGAAAGCTCACAAGAAACAATTTTATAGGGCTTTTAATGCTCGAAGGTAATGTAGGAGCTATTTTCTTATTTTGTTGATTCTGAAAATTTGTTTATTATTTTTGTTTAATTAATTTAGTTTTGTTAATTTGCATAATATATTTTTGCTATGTTAATATTATGTTTGCTAATTTCTTAGTCTAAATTGGTATTATTTATGTTTGCACCTTTTTGTTTTTGGTTTAATCTGGGTCACCTAGGGGATAAAGGAGGTAGGACACATAGACCAGAGTGCACCTGGGTGGGCCTATGGTTTTTTACCAGTCGAGAGGAGAGGCAGCAGGAGTAGGCCTTCAAAATGTATCCCTTGTTGCTTGCTAAAACTGGAAATAAATCTTGGGAAACTCAGCTCTGGTCATGGACATTGATTTGTACTCAGTGTTGGGGAGCAACAGATTACATGTAACGGAGTTCCATAATCAGAGTATAAATTATGAGTAACTATTCAGTTACAGTTACTGTTTCAGTGAGTGGTAATTGGATTACAGTTACTTGGTTGAAATAAATGGATTACATGGTGGTATTTTCCTGTTTTCCCATTTTCGGCTATACCCCCTCTTCTTTTTTTTTTTTCTTTTTTTTGCGGTAATTCCACTCATTGCTGGAAATTAAACCAGGTTGGAACTAGATCAAAACCAGGTCTAAACCAGATCTAAACCAGGACTAAAACCAGGTCTAAACCAGATCTAAAACCAGGTTTAAACCAGATCTAAACCATGACTAAAAACCAGGTCTAAATCAGGACTAAACCAGGACTAAATCAGGATTTAACAGGACTAAATCATGCTGCGTGGACGTGTCTCCTCCTCTTCTATTAATAATATTTTTAATACAGTTAAGTAAAATCTGGGCTTTTTATTTTCTTTTAGCAGACAAAACATCTTACGTTATGATTTCCTCGTCTTTGCTTCTCTACAGCAAATCAAGTAATCCAAAGTATTCAGATTACGTTACTCACTTTAAGTAATTTAATGGATTACGTTACAAACTACATTTTGGGGTATGTAATCTGTAATCTGTAGGGGAATACATTGTAAAAGTCACCTTCCCAACACTGTTTGTACTGCGTAAACCACGTGCCCACGGTGCCCAAAAGTGATTATCTGAGTTATGTTTAGTTCAGAGTTTGCTCACCGCTTTTTGTTTGTTACTTTTCTTTGACAAATCGTCACTACAGGTAACTTCCCCACACCTGACACTACGCTGACTCTCGTACCGCGCAGTTTTCTTGCATCTCCCCCGGTTAAAAGCGCTCTGGTGCCGCTCGCTGTAGCCGCCGCCGCCGCTGCTGCTGCTGCGCTGACTGAACTAAACTTCCACCAAATGAAAAAAAAAAAAAAATGTTTGTGTTTAGGGCTGCTGCCGACAGAGGCCATTTTAAGTTTGAGCGTTGAATATGTTTGCGGAGATGATGTGCAGCCACGGACGGTGCAGGACTCGGACGCGTGGATTAAAAAAAAAAAAAAAAAAAAAAAGCCTTTGCACGGACTTCCACGGCTGCTCTGTCCTCCGTCCCTCCTCCCTCCGCCGTCTCCGCTCTCCCCATCCCTCTCCGCTCGCTCTCCCCTCCCACCTCTGCTCGCTCGCTAATTTTTTATGCATTTTTCTAAAACTGTCATGGCGATTTGGTGTCCTTGGAAATAAAAAGCGCCAGCGTTTCTCGGGCTTACCGGGGGGGATGTCTGGCCGGTGTCCGAAGCAGGTGAGCGGTCCGCCGGGGGAGGGAGGGTTTTTGGCGGCGGGGTAGACGGCTCGGAGAGGAGTTTTTAGCCGCTGTCCACACGTGTAAGGACTCCGCTGTTTTTCCCAGTGCATTCAACACAACAGCGATGCAGTGACATTACAACGCTAGCGCAGGCGAGCGGCAGAAGCTAGCGCGGGCAGGGCTAACGTGAAGTAGGACACAATGTCTCGTTTTCTCCGCCGCTTTGTGGAGTGTGTGTTTTGGGGTTTTCTTGCCCGCCTCGGTCTTCCTCTGGGCTCGCCGGTAACTTGGTTTTAAGCTAGCTCTCCCAACTTGTAGCAATCCGGCGGAGGGCTCGTACATCGGGGGAGCTAGCTGTGGTTAGCCCCTGCGTCTGCTAGCAATCATTATGAGGCGAAACGTCAAAGAGAAGAGGTGTGAGCTAGGCTGTTAGCGTGTTAGCTTCTCCAGGAGGTAATTAAGTCCTAAATAAATAGCAGGGTTTTTAAAATGCACAAAGGAAAGCCGGGGTGGACGGTGGAGGTGGAAGACTGGCTCTTTGGCTCGTACCTGGCCAGGTGCAGTGCTTCAAGGGTCAGAGACAAAAGCTGCTCTATGAGGGCACAGCCTATTTGCAGCAAACGTGAATAAACAACTTAACATTACACGTTTCATCACTGTATCATATTTATTTTTTACTCAGTAGGGCGTGTAACTTCACAGAAAAGACGATGCATTTTTAAAAAAGGTTGTCAGACTGCTTGAAATAGTCCAAAACTAATTCAGTTCAATTGAGTTTAAGTTTATTAATATAGTACATTTAAGACAACTTCAGTTGACCAAAGTGCTTCACGTAAAAGTCAGCAAAAACTGAAGAAACAGTTACTTCTACGTAAATACAGATAACATGTGGAAACTACAACAAAAACTCCATAATAACCTGATTAGTTAGTACTAAATTTCAGATACAGAAGCCTGTGTGAATTAATAATTAGACTTAGGCATGAAAGTCAACAAAAACTGAAGAAGCAGTTGTATACATATATAGAGATAATGTGAAAACTACAATAAAAACTCCAAAATAACCTGACAAGCTAGTACTAAATTCCAGATACATGTATACAGAATCTTGTGTAAATTAATAATTAGACTTAGGCGTAAAAGTCAACAAAAACAGAAGAAACAGTTACTAATACGTAAATACAGATAACATGTGGAAACTACAACAAAAACTCCATAATAACCTGATTAGTTAGCACTAAATTTCAGATACAGAAGCCTGTGTGAATTAATAATTAGACTTTGACTTAAAAGTCAACAAAACCTGAAGAAACAGTTACTTATATATGCAGATAACATGAAAACTACAATAAAAACGCCAAGATAACCTGACTAGCTCATCCAAAATTCCAGATACATGTATACAGAAGCTTATGTGAATTAATAATTAGTCTTAGACAAACTTTATTAATCCAAGGGTTCCCACGGTCATGGAATTCCTGGAAAATTCCTGGAAATTGCAATTGTCATTTTCCAGGCCAGAAAAAGTCATGAAATTTTAGTATCTCTTTCACGCCTCTACAGCATTCTGTTAAGTTTTCATTAGGCTATTATGATTATTTCCGAATATATGCGCTTTTTGTTTTAAAGAGCAATCCGGTGGAGGGCTCGTACATCGGGGGAGCTAGCTGTGGTTAGCCCCTGCGCCTGCTAGCAATCATTATGAGGTGAAACGTCAAAGAGAAGAGGTGTGAGCTAGGCTGTTAGCGTGTTAGCTTCTCCAGGAGGTAATTAAGTCCTAAATAAATAGCAAGGTTTTTAAAATGCACAAAGAAAAGCCAGGGTGGATGGTGGAGGTGGAAGACTGGCTCTTTGGCTCGTACCTGGCCAGGTGCAGTGCTTCAAGGGTCAGAGACAAAAGCTGCTCTATGAGGACACAGCCTATTTGCAGCAAACGTGAATAAACAACTTAACATTACACGTTTCATCACTGTATCATATTTATTTTTTACTCAGTAGGGCGTGTAACTTCACAGAAAAAAGATTGTCAGACTGCTTGAAACAGTCCAAAACTAATTCAATTCAACTGAGTTTAAGTTTATTAATATAGTACATTTAAGACAACTTCAGTTGACCAAAGTGCTTCATGTAAAAGTAAACAAAAAAAGAAAAAACAGTATATATACATTTATGTGAGAAGAATCCCTCAGTCGTTCAAATACATATATTTATACACATAACGTGAAAACTACAACAAAAACTCCAAAATAACCTGATTAGTTAGGCTTCTGTATCTGAAATTTAATACTACGTGAATTAATAATTAGACTTTGACATAAAAGTCAACAAAACCTGAAGAAACAGTTACCGTGAAAACTACAATTAAAAACTCCTAGATAACCTGACTATCTAGTACTAAATTCCAGATACACATATACAGAAGCCTATGTGAATTAATAATTAGACTTAGGCGTAAAAGTCAACAAAAACAGAAGAAAGTTACTTATACGTATATACAGATAACATGTGAAAACTACAATAAAAACTCCAAAATAACCTGATTAGTTAGTACTAAATTTCAGATACAGAAGCCTGTGTGAATTAATAATTAGACTTTGACATGAAAGTCAACAAAACCTGAAGAAACAGTTACTTATATATACAGATAACGTGAAAACTACAATAAAAACGCCAAGATAACCTGACTAGCATGTGTGAAATTCCAGATACACATATACAGAAGCCTATGTGAATTAGTAATTAGATTTAGACAAACTTTATTAATCCAAGGGTTCCCACGGTCATGGAATTCCTGGAAAAGTCATGGAAACTGTAATTTTTTAGGCTTGAAAACGTCATGGAATTTTAGTATCTCTTTCATTCAACTACAGCATTCTGTATGATCATTTCCGAACGTCTGCGCCTTTTGTTTAAAATAGACGACAATAAATGCACTGACAGTATTTTGAATTTTAAAAAAGTATAATACCAAACCATACGGTGAGTGGAAAGGGCTAACATTTCATATTTGGTCCTAAAAGTATGATCAGTTCTACACGCCATAAAGTCATGGAAAATTCACTTAAGATCATGAAAAAATCATGGTAAAGTTTTAAAATTTTGTCAGAGAAAAAGAGCGGGAACACTGTAATCCACAACGGAAAATTATTTGGACACAGTAGCTCCACTCATCACTTTATCAGTATAATATAATAACAAACAGTAAAAAATATAAATGGTAATAATAAATTCTCTGTGGTTGGCCCCAAACTCTGGAACTCTCTGCCTCCCCACGTCCAATCAGCCCCTCCAGTCCTCTGTGTCTTTTATTTATTTTACTTATTTGCTGCTATTTTATGATTTTATGGTCTTGCTTTTATTTGGTTTTACTAGTTTTATTGTTTTAGGACTGGTGTGACCAAATATTAGCAATTTACCTTTTTGTTGTCTTCATTTTATGATATCTGTATGGCACTTTGGAAACTGCTTTGTTTGTAAAATGTGCTATAGAAATAAAGTGGATTTGGATTTGGATACAGTAGCTCACTCATTACAGTATAGTATAATAAAGACAAAAAAAATATAACTGTAATAATACATTGTAAATAAGTAGCAAAAGACAACAAGAGACAGGTGTCAAATAAGGCATAATTATATAAGTGTATATGTATAACTCAAAATACTGTATTTTCCGCACTATTGGGCGCTCTGGATTATAAGGCGCACTGTTGTTGAATGGTCTATTTTCTAACTTTTTTCACATATAAACCGCACCGGACTATAAGGCGCATCAAACGAAACACAACAGTTAGATGGGTCAATGGGACTTTGTTTGGCGCATTCACGGTGACTCTGGGCTTTGTTCAGTTGTGGCGTGTATGGAGGGTGCTGTCTGGGACCGCTCGATTGTCGGCGTGTTCGCAGTGACTCAGTTGTTCAGTTGTGTCTAGAAGTCTCACTTTTTCGGTTCGTTCCTCTGTTCCGTTCCTTGTCTGCGTGCAGTGATGAGTGTGGCTGTGGGTGTTTTTCGCTGCGCGGTCGCTGTCTGCTCTGTGTGTGTTTGCGTGCGCTGCGGGTGGTGCGGCTTTGTAGTTTACTGAAGTCGTGCTGGGACACCCGAGTGGATTCGTGTATAGGGCGCTCTGGATTGTGGGATGCGCAGTCGTTTTTTGATGGGGATGGAGGCTTATGAGTGCTCCCTATAGTGTGGAAAATACGGTAAAATAGAAAAATAACTGTATAGCTAAAGCATATTAAACGTAGATGGAAAAGCAAACTACAGATAGGCCCATGCGTTTGTGTGTCAACTTTCTCCCCTTGCATCATTTCAAAACAATGATGTCACTGTACTAGGTTTGTACCTGTGTAGAAACCTGCACACAAGCTATATTTAAAAAGTAATGTTCCAAAGTTTTAGTTATAACATCATAGTGCTACATGTTTTTTTTTTTTTTTTGGCTTTGCTGCAGCACCTGTTGGATTCAGAGCTTAGGCATTTCATTCCATACCACCCCCTCTTTCATACCATAGACATATATTTGCTGTGTAGTAATAGATAACAAGCTTTAAATGTCCTTTACTATGCAAAATTGACTTTTCAATATGTTATAATGTTGTTGCCTCCTCTAAAACATACCTGAAGTTGTGTTTTGTTTCATTTATTATTTGTCTGTCTACATCGCCAAAGCTCAAAATTCTCCATTCCAACTTGTGAGTGTGTAGTTTTCAAGTTCTCATCTACAGCTGTGTCTTTTATTTATTTATTTATTTATTGTTTTTATCTATTTTATTTTTTAGTACTGCTTTTATGTATTGATTTTATTATTTTTGTTCATTGATTTTATTATAATTATTTTATTTATTTTTCTGTTAGTGTCTTTATTAAACATAATTCCATAATTCTGCTGATTTTTTTTATTATTATTATTATTTTTTTTTTTAAGTAAAATGTTGCATTGCTATGTGAAGCACTTTGGAAACTGTTTTGTTTGCAAAATGTGCTATACAAATAAAGTTGG